AGATACGAACTTTGATAAAGCTAATGTTTTTTATCAATTTTGTGTAAACATTCTTTCAACTATGACACAGGGATTTAAGCATACTGTGAATTATACATCGCCATATGCTGTTCAGTCTCCTGACAACTAAAATGTCAGTTTCTGTGGATGGTATTTCGATTGTGATAATTAAAAACCTTTTTGAAGAATATAATATTTTTTTAAATGTTTGTATCATTGTGTTTTAAACTGTATATTATCTCAATTGTACCAATTGGAATTTCTTCTCACCCATGGGGCTATGCGCTCGGTGAGATGCAGAAATGTGTTGTTTTGTTCTTGTGTGTATGCTCGTATTCTTGTATTATTTAACATGAAATAAATTGAAATTGGTATGACTCCTTTCTCTGACTACATAAATCAAAACGTCTTTCAATTAAGTCTGACCGTAAATGGAACGTTCATTTAAATGAAGTGAATCTAATTAATGTTCTTTATGCTAAACTTTCAGAATTCTTTCAAATTCAGTCTTCATATTGCTCATGGTGTACATGTCGCGAGTATTCATTCCCGCCTGAGATACGGTGTAATATTATGGAAAAATACATCTTTTGTGTTTTACATCCAAACTTTTAGATCACAAAAAAGAATTGTACGAATAATGCTAAAGAACCTGTAACAAGTATTGTACTTCAGCTTCTGCCAATGCTGCGATGGCCCATCGTTTTGCGTCAGGACGTAAATGTAACTTGAAATTAACTTCCTCTCGTAGCACGTGACACTATTTTGGTGTTCCAATGCATAATAGCATACATGACTTAACAAGTCCGCAAGCAATCACACCCGTTCTAGGGATAAAGGTGCGATAGGTAAATGATCCGTGGGCACACTTGCAGGTGGTCACGTGCGTTGCTCTTCATTGGTTGCTACGTGACCTCGCAGAAACACTTGTGATCGCCCAGCCTACGCAGACTTTACAAACTAGCCCAGACTACGCAAACTAGGTAAAAACCTAAAGATCCGAAGTCTATTCATGATTAAAACTTGTATTGCAAATATGACAAGTATCCACTTCAAAATCAGTTTTCTAATATTCTAGTCCGTCGTAATTTAGTATTTTGGTATAAATAGTTTTAACAATAATATTTACCTATTCTAACAAGTTCTTCATTAAATTCTTGCATAATTCATCAATATTTTGATTTCGAATTAAATGTGTTCGAAAGAATGATTTTTTTTGTCGTTCTCCTACAATTACAAAATTTAAGATAGAGGATTTCCCTTCAAATAAAATTTGTTGTTCATAATTAGTTCCTCCATTAAGGTCATGTACATTGTTTTGAAACTTTTTCAGTTTTCGCGCATTATTGCGTGCAATATTTGCAGTTTTAAAAAATTACAAAAACAAGTTTTTCTCAAAAAACTGCTCCAATTTTTTCTTTAAACGTTTCGTAGGGATAGTGCTAAATATACTTCTACGAGATGACAAAAGCGCCAAAATGCTCTATTCTCTTGTTTTTCAAAAATTACAAAAATGTAATTTTTTGACGTGTCTCTTGCGTAGTTAATATTTATATTTGTGGCGATTTCTTCACATTATTGTATTTATGAATACATATGCTTTAAATAATGTCACATAACGTTTCTCGAAAACTCAACCATTTGAAATGAACCTTTTGAAAATGAAACATGAATGTGAAGTACTAGCGTAGTAGAAACTGTTCACGGTGCGTCATTAAACAAGTGGTTTTGTTTCATAGTAGATTAATTAGTGAGTCTTAGTGTAAGAGAGAATTGTGTGTTGACGTGAACCTATGATAATGCGCACTTCCTTGAACTGTTCATTACTTGAATACACGAGCACCGTTTATTTGATTTGCGTGTCGTCTGAAATTTCTTCTTTCTCGCACCATAAAGATCTCGTGTCCTTCAAGGCGTCCTACCGGCGTACAAGGTTCTTTCAATTGATTTGCCGTTATCTAGATCTTACATGAATATACAAATTCACAATCACAGCCATTCTGCTGCGGCACTATCCTTCAAGTCTCTATCGCCTCTCAATCCCTTTACAAAATCTTTGTTACCTTTGTCGGGCGCACAATGCGCAGCTTGCAAACCATTCGGCGTCACCGTCCTGTGACCTTGCCCCAATTTCGGCCGCGCCGTTGTATCGCTCCCTTGCAGACCAACCGTCCCTGATGTCTCTCGAAACGCCGTTTTCTCTCTCCTGCCACCAGATCCGCATCCAATCTTCTTTTGTTTTTTCCTTTTGGCCACGCTCGGCACCAGAATCCTCGCCTCTTCTTTCTTCGCCGCTCTTCCTATGCGGCACGCCGACGCGTATTTCAAAATCCTTACGCGTGTTTGCTAAAAGTGTATCGGTTTTCTGGCGTTCTTTACAACACTTCTTACTTGTTTCTAATGAGCAGTTCTACTGACACCTCGCAATAGCACAGTTTCTTTCGCGGCCACTGTTCCGCCTCAAACTAGCTACTCGACTACTTTCCACAGTCTTTGTGAAATTATACTTCGCCCAGTTAATCACAGTTCAGAAGTCTGAATTTTCTGCTATCCTACTATTCTTTCGCATGAACAATTACTTCGCACCATACTTTCTACAAATTGCGTTTCACAATCCTCACTGATCTAGCTCTCTACGCACGTCCGAACTCTTCTACGTCTCTCATCAGAAGGCCTCTCTCCCTCTCCCTCTCTCTCTCCCTCCCTCTCTCTCCCTCTCTATCTCCCCCTCTCTCCCCCTCTCTCTCCCCCCCTCTCTCTCTCCCCTCTCTCTCCTCTCTATCTCTCTCTCTCCTCTCTCTCCCCTCTCTCTCCTCTCTCTCTCCTCTCTCTCTTTCCTCTCTCTCTCTCCTCTCTCCTCTCTACTACCGCTCTGACTGACAGCATTGGATCTCTCACCTCGGCGTCTCGTACAGAAAGGAAGGTGATCGGTCAGCTGCTCCGCTATTTAACAGGTATCTTGACGTCAGGACGAATCCTTCCGCGTTTTCCGTGAGCTAGACATTCGCCGCCGTCGCGCAGCAAGCAGCAACTAAGAGATAGCGCTGTTTCGGTAGTAATTTATTCGCCTCGCCTATGCTCCGGTGATTTTCTCTGGATTCGCCGACACTGTGTGGATGTAATGAGGTTTCCAAGCTTGTCTCAAACGCCACAATATATATGTTGTGTCACGTAACTTTAGCACCTTCTATAACATTTGAACAGTTGAAGTTATTGCAATGCAGTTTTCACAGAGATGGATGAAGGAATGTGGTTAATTGATACGTGTATTCTTTTTTATTTTATCACTTGAATCGCACGACAAATTTGAGGTAATTTCGTTTTTTCAAATAGAACTATTCATATGTTTTCCGTCTGTCATGACGAGCGTAGAAATACTAATCCAACACAGTTTTGGGATTTTTTGTAATATATTTCGATTCTTCAAATACTAAGATCCCTTGCCTTCCCTTTCCAGAGTGCGCGCTAGCAGAGAGAGCGCTGCGTGACCTTGTGTGGAGGAATATTTCTTTCAAAATATCTGTTGAATACCAGTTGCAAAAAAATTAAAATTACTCAAAAATGCTTATCTTACATCTGGCAATATTTATTTCATTGGATTCGTATTTTGACGCTTGTCGTAGTAGGCTGATAAAATATGTATAATTCGATTTGGAAGAAGAAAGTTATCTCCAATATCTCGTAAGATACGAGTGATATATTTGAAATGAATACAGGCGTCAATTAGCTTCATTCCTTATACACCTCCGTGAAAATTGCATTCCAGTAACTGCAACCGTTCAAAAGTTATAAGAGGTGTTAAAGTTTATTGACTCATATATATATATATATATATATATATATATATATATATATATATATATATATTGTAACCAATCGTCTACCGGTTTTGCATCGTAGGAACGTGGATCTGTAGAGACCAATGAAAAAACACGTCCCATAGAAAACTAAAAAAATCGGCGAATGCGTTAACAAGATACATGCGTAAAATACATTTGACCCTACAAAAAAACCTTTAATAACACTCCAAAAGAATACAAAAGTGATCCTTGAACGTATGCCTTTTAAGTTCTTGGGCATGCACCGTCCTACTCTTCTTTTCTTCTTTCACTCCTTTAAACAATTCGGAAATGATCTTTACATCTGTTCAACAGCGTCCAGTTGAGAGAGAAATCTTAATGTTAACAATTTTTTGTAACATGAGCTATTACTCGGAAACTGCTTGTAAATTTGTCCAACCTAATCTTTTCTTTCAAATACTATTAAGTTGTACGTCCCCCAGATCAGCCACAATTTATAACACTTGACAAACTACAAACAAAGCTTAAAAACACCCAGGTTTGTTAGATCAAGTTGCGTGCTATTTCTGAGCACTTACTACAACATTCACTGAAATGAGGGATCGATACTCTCTGTATTTACTTTCTACCCTATACAAGGTCTAATGACGGGTATTTACAATGGAGGTCACGACGCGCAATCACTGCACGTACTAGTTGAAAGCGGTAGCCTGGGGCACTACAGGAATACAATCAAGTGCCTCATACGTCTTAGCGAACTGGGCGAACTTGAGGCTTCTCGCAGTCATGGCAAGTCCGTGGCAAGAGATAAAAGGAGGAAATAGCAAAGACGGCTGATATCGATCTCTGTTTGGGGTCATGGCTCCCATCAACGGCGCGAAGCTTGCGATGGTCAGGGGCTGCTGGTGACGCAGCTCAAAATCTTCGCGGCGATACTCTATCCCAACGCCCGTAAACCTGGGCGCAGATTCGATGAACGTTTCCCCTCTTCGTGCTAATACCATGCACAGCACAACTTCCCAATTACTCACTATCCTCTCGCTGTCGCCTCCAACGCCTCTCCTCCGCGTCCTCTTCAGTCCGCAGGCCACTCGCCTACCTACCTTCCGTGCGCATTACCATTGCGCCAACCTGCTCTCCCCTGAGTTGGCTAATTTGGTTGCGCGCGCGGCCGCCCGCTAAGTTCGAATACCTTTCCAGCAGAGGCCCAGGCATTGGACCCAAGGCGTGTATGTGCGTTCGTGCGTGTATTTTTAATTTTCGATTTTCGCTAGCAAATAATTTAAAAGCTATTGGGAATAGAAATATGACTAGAAAGAACAGTTTTATCAGCTTTAATTTTGAACCAAATAAATTTTCGCAAGATAACCATAATGTTTCGCGCCAATAATTTTAAATTTTGTGCAGTTGATTATGGCGGAATTCTATTCATGTTTAGGTAATTATATTCTTGCACATTCACAAAGACTTTTGTGGATGAGACTTGTATGTTAAAAATCTCGTGCATTTTTTGTGTTCGTAAGAGTTACTTTCAAATTACTAGAATCCAAAAAATTCAACATAAATACGCATTTAGGAATTTTCAAAAGGATCTGTGTAAGCGGGGTATCTTGTTTTATCAGTTCAGACAGTTTCGCCACATCACACACTGGGACCAAATATTGACATGAAATTAGAAAATATTAAATATAAACTAGTCGGATGAAAGAAGACTAGTGTTCGGTTAGAAGCTATTAGAACCTTCAGATTAGAAATAGAATGAGGGGTAAATGAGCAAGTTCCTCGTATATACTGTAGAAAAGGGAATTGCACTTACGAGGGTAGGTATTACTACTAGTAATCGCTAGTAATTTTGTTTACGCTGATGGCAATGTATTTCTTTATCTACTCGGTGTAAATTGAGGTTAGAAGTTTCTATCGCACTAGAAAGAAGCAACAATTCTATTGTTACAGGTGAACATAGTTCGCAATATTAATTCAGTTTACTTTAATGCATCTATTATTGAATTAAAAATGACATTTCTAAACGAAATTGAATCAGAAATGTACTACCCATAAGAAATTTGATAAATACTTAATTTTTAGTAGTACCTATTATTTTCGTGTTGTTGTTTCTTTTGTGTTTATTTGTACTGAGCGACGGGAATTAGAATCTGTTCAAAATGTCTTAATATCAACTGTAAATGGGCATTTACGTTTACTTGTTACGATTACGATGTACCATTTTTCAGAATGTCCAATATAGATGATGGATCGTGGGGTCATTTGGCAGACACAGAACATTTTGGCCGTAAAACAAGTTCTTCTGATGTCAGAGTTATAAGTTATAATGAAACTACCCATCCTAAATATGTGAATTACACCAAAGCTGGACACTGCATGATTTACTCAAAACAAAATGAAAAAATGTTTGGATTATATGATACAAGAGCTGCGGTTTTGGTAAGTTGAGAATGAATCTGCTGAACTTGTCTAAAAGGAATGTATAAGTACCTTGAATCAACTCAATCGTATTAAATTTATATTTTAAGATGCAGATGAGGTTTGATGGCTACATTGGCTTCCCTGGAGGTTTGATAGATGATGGAGAAAATACAGTTTCAGGCGTAAATCGTGAACTTGTTGAAGAAATTAATTTTGATTTAGAAAAGTTTACCATAAAAGAAGAGCATCATGTAATTTCACATGTGAATGAGAAATTAAAATTGATACTGCATTTCTTTGCCATTGAGGTACCATTGCAAGATTTTGAAGAAATGGAAAAGAAATCATTATCTGCCCATGACTATGGAAATGAAGTAAGCTATTTTCTCTATAAGTTTTTTTGTTGTTGTTGGTTAATGCTTTTTTTTTTTCATACCTGTATTTCAGAATACTTTTTAATTTGAGAGATTATGTCAATAATTTTTAATATTACGCAAAGGAATGTGGCCTTTATTTTAAAACAATCTATCTTTAAAGATTTATGTATTCACATTGTTTATTGTTCTTTAAAGAATATTCATAATTATAGAATACATTAGAATGAATGTAGGTTACTTGTCTAGTAAACTTATTAGGCAAAACAACTCATTGTTGCAACCTGAAGGATTAAAAGTTAATGTGTTTGAGTTGAGATACAAAAGAGACTGTCAGAGATGGCAGTGGGGGAAGTAAGAGGTTTAAAGAAACAGACATTTTGTAAAGCAGGAAAAGAATGTTAAGTTCATAATTTTTTAAGATATAGTGAATATGTTAAGCAAATTGTTATAGACAGTAGTATATTGAATATTTTCTATTGTAGAGTTCATTTTGAGAGAATTGTAGGCTGAAGTGTAGAAAATAGTACAACTTAAGACAGTCATATATACTGGCACTTCGCACTGCTCCAGCGAAGGGGAAATCCATGGTAGAAGAGAGGAGGGATGATTATGGGTTCATGGGGGTAATCAGAAATAGTCTTTCTTGTTCTGATTGGTATTGTTTCAGTTTACGTTTCATTTAGTTGATGATGGTATTTCAATTTGCAACCATTGTAACATATTTTGTAGACCATGACTTCATTTTCCCTTTTTTAACAGTATTCTTTTTGTTGTTTATCATAATTATAACTTTATTGTTGTACTTTTTAAGTTGCTTGGATAATTTAATAGACATTAGAGGTATAAATGGTTAACTGATACATAATTGATCTGAATCTTTTTTCATATTTAAAAATTAGTGTGTTGTTGGGTGTTGTTTTTTCAATTACATTAATTTTAAGTTTGAAAAAATGTATAGAGTGAATTGGATACACTTATCCTTGGGAAGTTAGCCAAAAACCTTTGACAAAGATTATTTGGCATTTATAGTAATTAAGACACCAATGTCCTCAAGGTGTTTGTAGTAGATCTAGAACAAATAAATGTACGTCGCAGAATGCGTACAACAAAACATATAAACTACTAATGAAACAAAATTATAAACTAATAATTACTACTACTACTTCTACTTGTGAGAACCTATTAATATTTATGGTAATATATATATATAAAGTTTTAATTTCTTTTGTTATAGGTTATGGGTATTGTGCGTATCCCATTATACACCATGGGTGATGGTTTCCGAGGTTTTCCAGCATTTCTTACCAATGCTTTTGCTGGAAATTCACGGGAGCAACTGCTACAATCACTTATACAGCGTCAAATAATGACAAAAGAAGAAATTGAAAGAGCTTTAGAAGCAAAAGCAATATGAAATGCTGTAAAACAATATTTATAACGTGCATTTATTCAAAAATAAATCAGTATTCTCTTGTACATTGTGTAAAAGTTCTAAAAACATATTGTTATTGTTCCCAGACCCTCTTAATACTTTTTACATTATCTCATTAATAATTGAAGCATATTTTCTTACAATTTTCCATTCTCCGTGTAAATCGAGCAATATTAAAACTCTCTTTTCTTTCAGGAGCGTTGTCGAATTTATTGTGGAAAGTCCATTCTTTCATGAGAAAGAAAATTTTATATTCATTGCATCTAAAAAAACAAACCTTAATATTCAGTGAGCATTCAGATAAGGGCAAATAGGTGTTTCATTTAAGCTTAATAATATTGAAATCCTCTCCAAAACAACCATTTTACTTCAAAATATTGAAAGCAAAATGGTCGTTTTGGAGAGGAAAAAATTTAAAAGAGCTTTTATGTAATTACAGCCCCCTCTCCAAAAGAAAGAATACCACTGACTTCGCTGATTATCAATAAAATAAAATTTCATTTTGGAAAAGAGGAAATTTAATCATTATTTTCCCAGGTAAACACATGTTTATAGAAACTCATTTTTTCTGTATTGATTTCTGAAGAGTATTTTTGTGAAAATATCAGGATTGATTTCTAAACAATACTAATGTGTGCTGGTGAAGTAAAATGTTTTCCACAAGGGCTCCAAGAAATTATGAGCACGGCCAAGAGCCCACAATACTGAGAAGACCTGGGAAAACCTGTTTTAATCTATAACACAATTTCCTGCTAGAGCAAGATAGAAACATGGGCTTTTTGCAAATATTACTTATGACTTAAGGATATATGCTACCAAAAAAGATTTTTTTGTGTAGGACATCCCTATAAACAATAAAAAATTTGGCACAGACCAATCTGAATCCACCTGAATCCTTGATGATTTGGTACAACATCTGTCAGCACAATTAAATAAATTTAGATTTTAGTGGCATGCAATTTGGAGCAAGTTTGGGGTTAAGGGATGTGTGAATGGAGTGGGTTTGGACATAGAGAGGTTTATAAAATATCGAAACTAAATTTATTTTGATTCACGGGTCTTGTGATTTTGTGTAGCAGAGGTCAAACTTTCAACTAAGTGTGTTTTTTAAGAACCCTAATTTGTCAAAGGTTATATGAGTGTTAGTATGAGAATTATTTCATCCCATCATTTTGACGGGTTACTGATAGTGTTTTGTATTTTAATAAAATGTCATTATACATATAAATAAAATAGTCTTATAACTGATGCTCTAAATTTTTAATACAATGCAAAAATTATATCAGAAACTGCAATATTTTGACAACTTTTAGTAATATTTGTAAACAGTTGAACTATTAGAATTCTATTCCAGGCCGGACAGCCATGGTGTAGTGGAAATCATTGTTCAAGATGTATTGTCTGCAATACTTGAGTCGAGTCACCTGCAAGTTGCTGAGGAGGATGTCCACGACTACTCCGCCACTGATGTCCACCGCAGATGTAGACAAAACTTCTGGAAATATGATTTCTACTAGACTATGGCCGTCCAGCCTGGAAGATAATTCTAATTGTGCATCCTACCGCCAGTGCCTACATTGCTTTAAAACTTGAACTGTTCATCAGCTATCTCAATATGGAAATATCAAAACTTTTTGCATTACAAATCATCTTCCTGTTTTGAACCATCTCCCCACAGTTTTATCGTGCGACCACTGGCTGAAAGGAGAATTCCAATTTGTGTAGGATGAGCAGCAACAGAACATACAGCATAAGCCGAGTTATGAAGTAATTTTATAGGTTTTTTCTCAGGGTCCTCCACCATGCTCCATATCCAGATGTTTCCACAAGCAGATCCTGATATAACACGAGAGTCATTTGCATCAACACAACTTTCTAAAACACAGTCTCCAGATTTATGGCCTGAATACCTGCAAATAAAGGAATAAACATGTGAAAATAAGTGCTGTTGTACAGATGACAAAGAAATATCTCAAAATGGGATGTATTCTTCTGTATATCAAAAAGGAATCAAACTTATTGTGAACAGTTTTTGATTTGAAGAGAGTTGATATTTCATACAAAGACTATAACAATATTGTATTTAGATGTAAGAATATATTGTTATAAGCATCTCTATGAATGGCTATGCATCTCCTTACAATGCTTATACATCCAAATAACATTCTTACTTCATTTCCTTTTTGAAATATGAAGACATTATTACTGTATACAACATCTTTTCTATGATATGTTCAACATACTCTGCTAATAGTTCGCCAGAATCCTTACACAAAAGGAGAACAAGATCATCACTTCGGCTCATCAGAAGACCTTGCCCATCATTTGTAAGATTTGCACAAGTAATTGGGGCTGAAACATATGATATGCAACTTACTAATTTGGCACTGAAATTAAAAGTTTGTACATGTTCCCCATTATAAAAAACATTAATTGACATTAAAAAGGAATAGCTTATTCTACCAAAATTAGAAGGCTGAAAAATGTCACAAGAGAAACAATGTTAAATTTTCTTCAATTACTTAATATTTTCTACTCACCTCCAACAAAATCAGATGTAAGTTTTCCAACACGTACATCATACAAGCGGACTTTGCAATCAACTGATGCTGTTAGAATCTCATATTCGTAAACCTAAAAAGTTAAACACTAAATTATTTAAAAGGATCTGTTTTCAAAACACTATAGGTACAAATGAAATGCAATGTTATAGAGCAAGTGCTGTGTTGAGTATTTGCATGATCTTGGAAAACATGTTAAATTTCATGGCAATATTTCCAAAAATGCCACTTACAATTTCCCACAATTTCATACATAACATTAAAGCTATTTCTCACATGTCTCTCCACCAAAAATATCCCAAACATGGTTTAACCAACCAAACAACTTTTCCATTTTTTATTATTATTATTATTATTATCATCATCATCATATTTTATTTTATTTAAAGACACATTTACAACTTGTTATTTAAATTTTGTTCATCAATGGAAAATGAACATCAATTGTTTCAGACATGATTAAATCCAAATAGTACAAAACACAGGGAGAGCCAAGTAACTTTAGCACCTCTTGACATTTTTCAGTGGTTCAAGATATTGCAATGCACTTTTCAACAGCAGTAGATGAGGGAGTGGGGCTAACAGACTTGTATATTTATTTCCTTTTTATCATTTGTATTTTACAAGACAGAGGCAACTATGTTTTCTCAAATCGAAATGTATTCATTTTTTGAGACTCTCGACAGGTGTAAAAAGGCAACTCCAATGATATACATATTATCAAATGATTGATAGGATTTTTTTAAGTAATTTCCCTTTTGCAGCTTATGTTTAATGGAAATCATGAATGTCTTGCCCAACTCAGCGGCTCAGAAGACGTTACGCAGTGCTCCACCTGCCAACACATGCTCACTGAAGTCCTTCAGATTGCTGATCGTAGAAGTATTTGAAAATAAGAAACCTACTCCAAGTCTTCACGAACCAATTGTATTTTTTTTCTGAACTCTGCTTTCCGTCCTTCCATATTTTCTGATTTTTTGTAATTCAAAACAGTGAATATAATGATGCCTTATAAGTATGAATTGAAATAAAATTGTTCATGTTACTTCATGCAGTGATATGATAAATGGAATCTTGGAAATAAAACAAAAGAATAAATTAATATAATTGTAAATTTTGAATATTAGTGAGCATAAAATAAATAATAGACAGAAAAAATGCTCTAAGCGTATTATTGTTATTATTAATACTGATTGATAGATTATCTTGTGCTTCTGGATGCATCTGCTATGGTCATTAGTCCAGTTAGGGCTTGCTTTTATCATATAAGGTGGCACTGTTTGTCCCCTGCTGGAAGGTAAGATCTGGCACTGATCTATAACGTCCGACCTTTTGCGTCGGCTTGCAGGTATCTCACACCAGCAGGGCACCACCTCTGTCGGGACAAGCTGTAAGCTGCCGGTATGAGTGGTAGTGAAGTGAAAGTAAGGATTGGTCAACAAAGAGATTGGAAGCGGTCCGTGGTTTGTTTGTCAGGGTCCCGCATTTGCCTGGTGTGGATCAGATAAACCATGGAAGCCTACCAATCAGAGTAGCTGGCCACTAGAATTCTCCTCCAGACAGCAGTTGAATTTGACATATCTATCTAGATTATATGAAAAATCTTGCCTCCATTGGGACTCAAACACTAGGACCTCCCAGTCTGAAGTGTTACAGTTGATGTCACTGATCCTGATTGTTTAGTGCCCTGAGCCACCTAAGCTCGTGATGATAATGATTGTTTTGTTGTTGTTGATAATATTAATAACTGAAATACAAATTTAAATTTACAAAACTAGTAAATAAAGCTAAAGAAAACTTCACTATTATTCAATTTACTTGGACATAAATTCAAAATGACTCCATATACAAACACATTGAAAGAATGTCTAGAAAGATTTAATAACTGCAAGCATGAATAAACAGCTACAATGTGTCTATGGATATCTTCTATTGCAGCTGGAGCCTCCTGTCACAGTTTTTAATAACACACCAAAGAAAAAATGTAATGGTGTTCAATTTGGGGAATATGTGGACCAGCAAAGGTTTTTTATTATTATTAGTTTTTATTATTATTATTATTATTATTATTATTATTATTATTATTATTATTATTATTTTTATTATTATCATTATCATTATCATCACAACTTTATTCTGCTATTGTTTTGATTCCAAGATCCATTTAATAATGCATCATTTATTAAAAGGATCTTACCAAGTTGAAGTAACTTAAGAGGAATTTTTTTTCAAACTGTTATATACTTATGACAAAAAAAAATAAAATATAGACGTTTGAAAAGCTGAGTTCATAAAAAAAGATACAAACTTTGAGAAGCCTTGGAATTTGCTTTTTATTTTCAAATACTGCAATCAGCTTTTCAATGTACACTTACCATGTTCATCTTAGCAGTGACTGGACTACTGGCAATACGGATATTCTAAATTTACAATAATTGCAAGTTGTAAATAACTCAAAATTACTCAAAACATATGTATTTAAGATATGTCAATAACTCGTATCGGGTTGGATGTGTCACTGTATCCTTCATTTTTCACACATTGTGACAGACTAGAAAGTAAATTTGTTTACTACGCATTGTGATGTCATGGAGGTTAAGTGAATTCGAGTCTCTCAGGTTCCTGATTGGGTGACTAGCTAGGAATCCCAGGATCTATCAGAATCGAGCTCCTAGCCAAAGGAATAAAAGGCACTGACTAATTGCGACATGATGAGACTTGACAAAGAAAGTAATTATTTCTCATTAGTAACGTAGGATTACTCCAGGGAAAGCGCTCCACACCTAACATGGGTTCAGAGTCGTGTTGCATCAACCACATAAAAAATTGATCAAAAAAATATATTTAAAAAAATGTAATTTGGTGTAACAAATAATATAAATATATTGTATTAAATAATGCTCTTAATTTTCACCTCCAAAATTTGAATTACTTTGTGCCACGTTAAATAAAGCATAATACAACTACATCTAATAACATCCAACTGCCATCAGAAATATATCTGATGAATTATTATAAATTTTAATTAACTAATAGACAATGGATAGAGAATAAAATATAGGGATTTAGACTAATATTCTTAAACAAATATGTTGCAATAGGTATTACTTCAGAATGCAAGAATGTATTGACATAGTATTGACACCCAGAAATATTTCAGAAAGTAACAATCAAATATGTGGCTGAAATCATAGAAAGAAAATCTGAAGAACAAGACATTAGGATCTAGAAAAAGTTACAATGTTTGAGGTTCATTTGGACTGCAAAAAAAAATCATCCAAATCCATCGAGCCAATTTCTGACAAAACATCCACTCTGGACACCAAAGTTTGGTGCAGTAGTCAGCATTAAAACATTCATTTATCATTTTTAAGAGCAGAAAGAAAGCTATTCTCACTCTAACACTGGTGATTGCATCAGTCGCCTGATTTATTTCTTGCATCGGTTTCAGACCATATGCTCTCGTATCCCACACACGCACTGCATTGTCTCGCCCACCAGAGACAGCACAAGCTCCAGTTTCACAGAAACGAACTGCTGTAGCAGCTGCAGCGTGGCCTCTCCATCGTCGCAAAATTTTTCCAGTGCTCACATCCCATAAGAGAATGCTGCGGTCAGCCCCAGCTGAAACCATCTGGCTGGAAGATTACAGAATAGAATTATAATGGTAATCTAATCACAACATTAAATTAAAAAGGACTAGATTTTCTATTAAATATTATCAATGGGAGGACATATTCAAAAGATGAACACTAATCCTTTCTGAATTTAGGGTAACACTCTAAATAGAAATATTATTAATTGTATTTGATATTACTGACGATGAAAAAAAAATGTAATAAGAAAGATCCAACTACTTTTTAACACTCCACATGTATTACTCCCAAACAAACTGGACAAAAACTTGACTTAGATTCAATCAGTGCTCAAGAAAGGACTTTGTAACAATACTATAATAGTAGTATCATATCCAAACCAATAAGAGTTTGAATCAAACATAACCATTTTCAGATGTGAAATGATGAATGGATGAGGAAACCTTGAAACAGCACTATCACAATTGCTACAATTTAATTAAAATAATAAGCAGATAATGAACAATACTGAGAAAGCATCACATTCTGGAATTGTGACAAATGAATCAGCTTTTACATGAACTATGGGCATAGACCAGAGTAAAAAAAATACTAATTCCTCAAGATTTTATGAAAAACTAATAAGCAGAAACTTGTTTCATACTTCATGTTTGAAAATAAAAATTAATTTCATTTGAAGACAAGATCACTAATTCACATAATATTAAATAAAATTAACGAATATAACCAGAATACCTAGCCGAGTTGTTCAATTCTCAGCACATTTGTATTAAAACGTTACCTATTATCACAAGAGCTGTGAACATCCAATACATCTTGCCCATGTCCTGCATATGACTTAAGTAAAAGAGATCGGTAAGGATTCCATAATTTCACAGATTTATCTGCACCAGCAGTAAGGCAATAAGAGCCATCAACTACAAGAAAAATGAAAGATATGATGACATATAAAAGATATGATGTATAAAAACTATCAAGTTGTAGGCCACTGAATTTCAATAAAAAATATTATCAACATACATACCATTGAATCTCACTGCTCGAATGGCACCTTGCTTGCAATCAATTTCCTTTAAGCAGTTAATACTCTCTGGTTTGGGTTGTGGACCACAAATTTGTTTACTCGCCATAGTCAATATATTTCTTTTTAAATATGAAAATACAATATTCAAATTTTAAAAAAAGGAAGGAATATTGCACTGTAGCATTATCAATGAGTTATTTATTTCCAAATAAAACAATTCATGATATGAATAAATGCTTACGAGAGAAACATAAAAAATAAATCGTAGAAAAAAACAGGTAACCTTTTGCGAGTGGACAATCTTTAGAAGAAAAATTCATATTTCATGTCTCAAAATAATCATTAATATTATTGGACATACACATAAATGTTCGTGAAATAGTGGCAAATAAAACTGAAATACTTACCTAAATGATGCATAATAAACTATGGACGTATTTTCTCTACATTGTACAGGCTTCTGGATCAGAATGCAAGCACGAAGCACAAGCAAGTATTCAAATAGTGCGCGTAGCGCTGCGTTGTTGATAGCTCTTGGGCGACACTAGCGCCATTTGCGATTTCTGATAAAATATAGTAAGATTTATTTAAGTGTGCACTCAATGTAAATCAGCAGTTGCGATGTCATGCAATCGGAAGCTTATTTGTCGTTACAGTGACGTCACTATGGGTAGGGACATTCAAGATCTCGATTGGATGAAACAGTGAACAGATGATTTACGTCAAGTGCATGGTCAAATAAATACTAGTGTATAGTCGGTGAAGACGTATAATGTCTCTGGACCAGTACTATTGGACTTCAATCGATGTAAACAAATGTTGGGGATGTGACATTTGTATTTGAAATATCTCGAATTTGTTACGGATATGTTTCACGAAAATCAGTGAATGTGGAAAACTGTTATGAACTCCTACCAACACCTGACCTATCGTAAGAACCTATTAAGGGAGGATCATTTAGTATCGCCGATAAAGAACAGAAATATTGACATGACTTAATTTGTCTCGTGAGTGTGAATTGTGGTAAAAAAGTTTCTTTCTAAAGATTTAATTTCAAGCTAAGTAAGTGGAACAGTCTAGCATTTCAACAGAATCATGCAATAATATAGTTGTGTGGTAATTGTAAGTTATGAGTGAATCTGATGACACAGATTTACTTCTTTTAATTCCTCCAGACTTCTTTGTTATACATTCTGATTCAGAAGATTCATTACAAAGTTTTAAAAAGAACTGTAGTGATCACCGTTTTAATGAACTAATAAGTCATGTGAATGAATTAGAAGAACGAATAAATTTCATTGAGAATAAAGACACTTCATATTCTGAAAGTTTGTCTCAAGCAAATAGAATTAACCAGCCTATTGATTATTCATTAATTGATGCATCGAACTTCCACACTGTTCATGGCCGAGATGTGGCTCTGAGACTTAATTCTTTGACTTTTTCAGGATTTCAGTTTGGATGTAGTGATGATTCTTCAGTGCAATATTTGGAACCTTGTATTATGAGTTCATTAGAAGACAAAAATCATCCACAGACAGTTTCACCTGTTAGTTATTTCAGATCTCAAGGCCCTGAAAAGAGTGATCCATTTGAAAATCCTACTCGTCTTTCACAAGTTCATTCTTCAGAATCTTCCAATCATTTGTTGAATTCCATTATACCAGTTGATAATACAGGGTCTAAATTTATTAAGTGCGTTACAGCTGATGAATCTCACGATCCCTATAGATTTTTTAATCATTCTCAACCATTTCATTTTAGTTTTCTAAGTGAAATAGATGAATTCTTAGAAAAGAAAAGTAAAGTCTTAAGTGGAAGTCTCCCTTGCAATGGTTTGCCCGATTATCAGAGAAAAGAGAAAATCAGTCGATTAAAGGTTTCCAATGAAAATACAAATTCTGAAAATGAATATCAGGCTTTCGTTAAACTTTCCTCTACTAATTCAGTGGCTAGTGAAAAAAGGTACTTTGATGTTGATCAACAAGAAAAGCCCCTTGTACACATGCAACAACAAGCTTATAACACATTTTTTGACATTTCTGGCATTGCTGAATCAGAAGAAATGAACACAAAAAAAAATAGAGAAGAATTTCATGACCTAAAAAATGGGGCAAACAATGCCACTAAGGAAAATCATAGTAGAGAGCATTTACCAGACCACAAAGAATTGAATTCCTCAAAATTTAGTGAAAATGCAATGTATAGCCCAAGTGAAAAGTTCTTGAGGGAAAATAGTATTTATGGAGCAATGGATAAGTCCCCTGCCCCAAGTAACGAAAAGTTTTTATGTAGTTCCCGGTCACCTTATTTTAATGATACACAGTTTAGAAGAAATTCAGTAGCAAAACATCCAACATCTTGTAATGGAGAGAAAGACACGGTTCACCCAAGTTTAAATAAAAATTGTGATCATGAATATGAAAAAAATCAGTTTGGTTATCAGAGTGATTCAGCACAATTCGTGGATTGCTATTCCAACCATTTTGATAATTCCTTTAATTCTCCAATTCATAAAAACGAAATTCCACTTACTGAGGGTATTTTTCCCAATAAGAACATACATTTTTATCAAATTTCAAAGGAATTGGATCAGCCAAGAAATTTTGCACAGTCTGGGGACAATTCACTTCAGTCAAAATTAGAGTGTGTGCAAAGTTGTGGTAACAATGATGGTGCATCCAATTTGAAACTCTGTAAAGATAAATTAAAGAATGATCTTATAACAGAATGTGGACACACTACTAATTTGGAATTGCCTGAAAAATCTTTGAATCCAGAAGAATATATTCAAAAGCAAGCTTCACAAAAGATGGGTAATACAAGGAGAGACAATGAGAAATACATTTCTAAATCAAGTGAATCTAACCAAAATTGTGAACTTTCAAATGGGCGTGGTATTGTTTCTAATAATCAGTCAGTGAAAGTTGCTTCAAAACTTCCATATCAATCAATGAATGAATGTTTAATCAATCAAACTGAAGAAAAAAATGTGGTGCCCCTTAATGCAACAGATGGTAATAACCTTATTTGCATTTTTATTAACTTTATGAAACACTTTTTAATTGAAGATATAATTACTGTAGATTACTTCTGTTTCTAGGAATTGGTAAAGGGGTGCCTGTTCTTGCAGATGATGGATATTATTCATCAGTTGGGTAACTATAAATATCTTCAATCACATTTTTGTTTTTCAATTTTCATGGTATAGAATGTTTTTCAATGTTTGGGCAGATTAATTTTTTATTTCTTGAAAATGAAAAGAATGTAAGTATTAAGAAGAAATGGTAGGATCAGTTATAACTGTATCATTAAATTTATATTCCTTAATAAACTGTGTTGCCCTTATTCATCTGTGAAACATGATGAAAATCAATTTTTGACCCATTCTTTCAATATCAAGATCATTTTGCCAGATGAGAGCTAGTTTCTTATGGCTTTTCTTTTCTTCAGTTTCTTTTATCATTTTCTTTGGGATTTGTGTCAGGGCTATTTGCAGCTTTTGTAACACAGATTGTTCATAGTCTTGAAGCTATTTTCCATCTTTTTAATCTATTTTTACTTTGATCTTCCAATGACTTTGTCCTGTGGGTCGTTAGTCCTCTGTTTTCTTAATGTGTTCTAATAATTTATTCTAAAAATCTTTTATTTCTTCTACAATAATTTTTGTTTTGAGCCGTTTCCTGTATATCTTTTTGTTCCTTTTTCAATCCAAAAGTGTTATTTCTGAGATATCTAGGAAGACTCTTGTGCTATTTCCAATCTTTATTGACCTCTGCTTTTTAGAATTGAGGCTTGTGTTTCAAAAAGCAGCATATGTTTGGAAATTATATTGTGTATTCGCAACTTTGTTTCCTGAGTTAAGTCTCTCCCAAAATCTTTTCTAATTATTCCAATAGATCTATTGGACTTTGCCACTTTTCGTTATGATAAGTTATTGTATTTGGCTTGAAGGACTTATTTACCTATTTCTGTAAATTATTTATTTATTTTTTTCTTCTGTTTTTCATTTTGAATTAATAGTGTGATTTATTGGAATATTTTAGGAAATTAAGTTAATAGAATGGTAATTCTATCTTTTGTTTTCAAAACAAATGCTTTACGCTGTATTAACTTAATTTATTAATTAATTCTTGATTTTATTTCCTAGAACTTCTGCATTTTGGCCAGCATTGATACCTAGATAGCAAAATTGTCATTTGTATCTCTCCTTGTATTACATTCTTAGGATTTAATTGGCTGTCTGAGTGACGCTGCGTCCATGTCAAAGGTGGCAAGGTTTCGGTCGCCATTCTGCGACCTTCCTCAGGGCGTAACGCATTACGCCTTTGATTGTAATGCATTATCCCCTGAGGAAGGTCACAGAATGGCGACCGAAACATCAGCGCCTTTACCATGGACGCAGCGTCACCTGGAGAGCCAATTTAATACTGACTCTGGCCGCGGAAGCCTACGCTTTCACTGTCTTAGAATGTCTAATTTCTTTCCTTTGAAAAGCCATGGATTTGCTTTGCCTTGTAGAGATGATTATGTTGTATATTTTTGCTATTTGTAGATTTGTTTGCTCCAATTTGTGAACAATCTTGTTTGTTTTGTTAAGGTACATTTCAAGAGAAACCAATTGCTTCCATTTCATCATGTTTTCTAAAGATTCTGTGATGGTCACATCATCCATTTTTATCTTTATTCTTGAGGTAGAATAGAGCCTTTGGATTCTTTCAACTATTTCTTTGAGGATTTTTTCTTCATTCACAAAGTTAATGTTTTTTTAAATCAAAATAACCATTTTTTTTATTTAAATAATGTTTTAAAAAACTTAAAATTGATTTAAATTTAAAAATTGACATTAGGTAAAAATTTTAGATATTTGAAAAAAGAGACAAAAAATTGAGAGCTCACTCTCAGTAGAACAATGGGGCTACATTGACGTAGTTCGGAGATATGCTAGCTACATCCATTTAAAAATTTCTTAAAATATTTGCAAACAATTTTGAAACTGCTGGTAACAAAGTGGTTCCTGAATAGTTAGTGATGTTTTTCTTTGATGTATTTTGATGTATGTTACTAAACCCTCTGGCCATTCAATTGGCACTGAGCATTTGCCCCATACTTGGTTGAATAGTTCTACTAGTGTGTCTTCTGCTCTTTTCTGCCATATTTTATAAGTGCTATGTGAATTCCATCTAATCCAGGCCATTTTCTATTTTTGGTCTATTTTAGAATTTTACAGTTCTTTTTATTTTTGGAATGATTTCTTGCTTCCTGTCTATCTCATTCTTCTTCATTTTTGCTGCTGTCTCTTCTTTATTCCAAAACATTTTGAAGTGTTCTAACCATTTCCACTTATCAATTATTTTCAATTATACTTTTATCTTTTGTGTCTGACCTAAATATTCTTAGAGCTTTGAAGCCAATCCTTTGCAGTCCGAAGGGTTGAGCTTACAAGAATATATTTTTTTAAAGGGATAAACTCATGGTTTATGATAAATAGTTACATCTATAATTCATTTATTTGTTTACAGAACAGGTTCAAGTGCAATAAATTTCTTAAGTCTATCCAATTTGTGGGGGCAAGGAGCAAAAGAATCACAAAAAAGTGAAGTGATGACTATTGAGCAGAAGTTGGAAGAAGAACATTATAGAAGAAAAGTAAAGTAGAATTCTGTGTATTTCATAATTATATTTGTGTAATTGAATTTATTATACCAAAGTAAATTTTTCAGCATTGTGAAAATGTCATTCAAAAGCTTCAGTGTACTGTATTGGAACTGCAACAAAAGTTAGCAGTGGCTATGAGAGTAGATCAATCCAAAGACAATACTATTCACCAGCTGCAAACTGCTTGGAAACGTTTAGTTACTCACTGGCAGGAGCTTGAAGAACAAAGGCATGCAATATCTGTTAGATACAGTGAGGAAAAGGAGAAACACCAGCAATATGTGACAGAAATGATGCAGGTTTGTTAGTTGAACTCTTGAAGAGTTAATTCATAGTAATGACATTTGCTTTAACTATTATTTCAGTTTTGAAGCCAATTTTGTCATTGTTAATTACAGAAAGTAAAACAGTGTGAGCTTGAGTTATCAAAAGCTTTAGATTTAGCTAAAGGGTACAAAGAAAAAAATGAAATAATGGAAAATAAACTGAAAGACCTAGAGAATGTTCATGTAGAAGAAAAGCAGACATTGCAAGTGTCCTTGCAAGAAAAGCAGAAACATCTTTTGGAAGCTGAAGAAAAGTTGAAAGTTTTTCAGCATGATATTGTAGAAGTAGAAGAAAAATTAGAAGCAGCCAAGAAGAAGGCATGTGAAGTAAGTTGGCTTTAAAGTAGTTCCTAGGTGAGGCAAGGTTTTATCAGAAAAAATATTGCAATTCGTCGCAATGAGAAAGTAACATTTATTCTTACACAACTCTTAATTACTACAGATACAATTTTTTTCTGATGTTACTAAATTTCTAAAACTATTTGTCTCAGTACTTGATAAACGTAATTATCCTCAGATACTCAAAAACAAGGAGACCTGCTTATTAAACTTGCAATGAGAAATACCTGACTCCCTTTTATTATTTTGTATTCTTAAGATAATGTAGATATACAATACTCTTCATGCTACAAATAATTTCATAAATCCATTCAGGCTTAGGGAACATTTTAACTTCATTTTTCTTCATGTAACCAAATTGTAAGACTATTGTAATAAATAAAGAAAATGTCGAGATGGAAGTACTCATTAGTTATGCACATCACACAAGATATTGTGGAGGAGTAAGGAAGCTTAGGCATTTATTTTGCCCCAAATAGGTAGGCAAAAAGGTATTTATTTTTTACTAAAACAGGTAAACATCAGGCATGTATTCTGAAAAAAAGGGTATAAAATCTGACAGATGAATTTAAAAAATGATTTATGATCAGAATAATTTAAATGATGATATATCCACCAGGTATTTCTTAACATTCTCTACCTGTTGAAGTGGGTTGATCCACATTCTGACAGGCTACGGAGAAGGCTCTTGAGTGTTCTTGTTCTCCATTTCATATGTCACCATCTTTCTTTTATCCCTTTTTCTTCTGCTCTGGCCTTCTCTTTAGGCTTAATGTCTGCCTGTGTGTTTGCCAAAATAAGCGGGGGCAGCCCTGGCAAAGAAGCACTGTATCATCTCTGTGGCGTCCCTGGCTCCCGAGTAGGATAGCCCCTTTTGGACTCATGATGGGTGGCGAGCAAGGAGACAAAACAACTTCTAACTATGAGACCTAAAAAATCTTGACCTCTTCCAGAAGGAAGGAAGAGATGTTTTGAATGAACCATTTACAAGATCTGTGTCACAGAGGAGGTGTTCTTTCCCGAAGCCAGATGTCAGTACCTGGTGAGGAATTCTGTCGATCTTACTCAGTCCTTCTCTAGTGCTGTCACCAAGATGATAGACATGCACCAAGTAACAGGAAGTTACCAAACTTCATCTGCTGCTCCTCCTCAATGGCGCCCTTCTGTTGCCAGGTGTCTCCTGTGGCCTTCCTTGGGGTGCGGGGGGGATAATTATTCCCATCAAATATATGAGAAACAGGACAAGAAATTTACTCAGCCATAAAAGTTTAACCAAGTATCCACTTCCACTGAAGCCCATGTGAAGGTCAATGTCAGTCAGCTATCCATCGAGGACTCTCTTTGAAGTGACCAATCTTCCAGGCTTCTGAATCTCGCTCTGAATGGTCACCCAACATGTCGAGCAGTGTTCAGGAGGACTGTGGCTCTGAGGAAACTTCCCCAGTGGATGCTTGCCCCTTGCCCATTACGGCAGTAATGGAAAAGGGAAAAGAAGAAGACCTAGAATGTACACAGTATGGCTCTCCTGTCCTGGAACTGAAGTGGCTTTGCTCCCGGCAGGACTCTACTACTAAAACTCTTGTCCCTTTACATGCCTTTGATAATCTGTTCACAAGAGACTCATCTAATTCCACCACATTCCCTACCCTTTCTTGGGTTTACCCCATAGAGACTTGATGTTGATTACGGTGCCTGTGCCCTTGGCAAAGTTACAACATTGATTCATGACGTGCTACAGGAATACCTATTTAGACTCTCCTTCAAAGGCTAGTGTGTGCAGATGTTATTGGCCTAGTTCTTTGCAGCCCTTCACTTGGAACCATTGCCCACATTGATTGACTGTGTCAGGGGTTTGCTAGACCTCAATGGATCGTGCAACACACTGATTGGTGGACATTTCAAGCTAACGTCACCCTCTCAGATGGACCCTTTATCATTGTGCTTGGAATGAGTGCACATTACTCATAGCTACTTCCATTGCGATTTAACCAGTAAAGTGGGACAACCCTTTGTCCCATGGTAGATTTTGAAGTGTTATAGAGCGGTCAGAGCACATCAATCTATTTATGAAAAACCTAATTGAATACAGAAGATGCAGAGCATAGGTGTGGAGGACTGTTTTAGAAAGCAAAAATGCGTTATGGAGAGCATACGACTTCTCTCAATTGCTACATGCCACATCTAGTGTGGAGAATGATCCGCCTAATGAAAGGACAGTCATAAAATATAGTGCCGGATCTCCTTAAAAATGGAGAGTCTGTGCATTGGATTTTTCAAGCAGACTGACTGAGAATTTCAACACCCCATTCTCCATGTCATAAATGTAATGTGCTCTGGTGTTTGCAAAAAGGATTGTCCGCAAGTCCTGATGAAATTCAGGACCAAATGCTCCAATATCATCCTGAAATCTCCAAAGCAATTTCTTCAAGTTTTATAATCATACCTGGCAAGAGCACACCATCCCTGCTCTGTGATGTGAAGTCAATGCCCTTGCTCTAAAGAAAGGAAAGGATCAATCATTGCCATTAAGCTAGTATCCTATATCTCTCAACTGTTGTTTGCTAAGAGCTAGAATGCATGTAAAACAGCATTTGGTCTGGACATTAGTGGGTAAAAATCTGTTCATCCCAATCCAGAACAGGGTAACGAACCACTGGTCAACTGAGGACCATCTCATTGCTTTGGCAGTAGAAATTACTTTATCTTGTGTCTTGAGGCAACACATTGAAGCCATACTATTTGGCAGAGAAAAGCTCTATTTGACACCACTTGGAGGTACAACATTCAGTGAACCTTGCACTCTTGAGGATTGTGGGGGCCTCCCCATCTCCCCCTTATTTCTTTAAAACTTTGTTTCAAATAGATCCATGCTCATGTTGGTGGCAAGCAGTGTACTAGGTACCCTCTTGAAAACAGCATTCTACAGGGGTCTGTGTTGAGTTTCACTTTCTTTGCCATTGCCATTAAAGTATAGCATAGTCTGTGCAAGAACCAGTAAAAAGATCACTGTTTATGGATGATTTTAGCATCTTTTTGTTTTTAATCCAAAGGCAACCCCAACTGGTCCTTAATAAACCGTGTCGTACCTCTTCTCGCTTCAACTTTTCCATTATGTAAACTACTGGTGTACTTCAGCAAGAAATACCATTTGCATAGCAATATCCACAGGTGCATAACTTACCAGCAGAATTGACTGATGTTTGTCGTCCATCCCTAAAACGAAGACCGGAAGACCTTTCACATTTCAATTACAATTCTATATTTCAATTTTAATAGCATGCAATTAATACATGTTATTTTCTGAAATTGACAATCTATGTTACTAATTTTTTACATTGTAGATATATTAATAGTCTGCACATTTCCAATACAATATTAATGATGCCACAATTATTGAATTTGATCCAGTAATTCTCTCGTAGGTGGGAGGAACAAAATAAACTTTAAACTATTAATATAGGAGGGTTGGGACAGAAGTCATGGCTACTAGTTCTTTTCCTAAAAAAAAAGTGTTATCAGATCAGACAATTTTATTTATTGCATGAAAGAAATGCTCTACTAATGTGTTCACAACAACAGATGGCTCTGAGTGTGTGTCTATTAGCACAGAGAGCAGTGTGAAATCAGTTGTCTGACTGCTGCCATGTGAGATGAATGTAACCCCTTTCAAGCAGTGCTCATACCTGCAGATAGCCATTCTCCATGGGAGAAATGCCCGAAAATGTCACGGAATTGGTGGAAGCTCTTGGGAATAATGCCCTTCCATACCAGACTGTGGCGAGATCAGCAAGAGAATTTCTGCAAAGATTTGTAGCAACCTGTGATTAACAATGCACATCATGACCCGTGAGTGTGCAGACCAATGTGGTATGTGCAGTAATTGAGCAACTGCCTAATCGGGCCTTTAGAATGGCTATGTAATAGTTTTTGGAATGTTGTGAACTTGTGTATACTGAAATGTTTTAAAACATGAAACCAGTACTATCATTTCAAATATCTTAATAAATATGAGAAACACAATTTTGGTGTGTTCTTAAATGGCCATGCACATAATTCATGTGTACGAGTGTCACATTTTCCACCTGTGCTTTTACACTCGCACTCTGACAAACAAATAGTTGCCATGACGTATGTGCCAACCCTCATTTATGATGGTTTAACAGAAAGTAGTGGACTGAGCAGTGAAACTGTTGTCGAACAAAACCATTCGAAATGGTTTTCCAAAAAGTAGCACCCACACTGCTCAAGAACAACAAATAAAACACTGCAACAAATAATTTAGTGTTTCATTTTTGTGAACACAAATGCTTCAAATATTTTCTTATGAAGTTTCTTGATTTCTCAAAATGTTTTGAGTATAAATATCTCTTAAACTTCATCAGCAGTAACTACTACTGTTTGCTGCAAACTTCCTGAGATGGCAGTTTTTCTTCTGACTTCACAGTCTGAAGGCCAAAGTTTGATACCCAAGGGATATTTTCTCTTGATAAAACAAAGTACACTTATGAATATGGTATACGTCTAAGTTCAGTAAAATCATTTGAACTTTTGAAAATTGCAAATTCTAATCTCACATGGTATTTTGCTGAAGAGCGCTTTTCATGAGACTGACGAAGAATCAGAAGAATTCCATTTTATTCTTTTAAAGAATTTTAATTCTTTTTATCTCTTCATCTAATTTGATTATTTTGTTTTATTAGGAAAGAGAGTCTGCTGTGAAGTATCAACAAGAAATGAAAAATGCACAGCAGATGTTGGGAAATCTTGAAAATGAAACCATTGTCTTGAAAGAAGAGAATGATGCCTTGCGTCTCAGGGTAAAAGAAGAAAAATCCAGAAACAGTATTGCAGATCAACAGATAAAAAGTTTGAAAATTGCTTTAGATGAAAGTAAAAAGAATGAAGTAAGTTATTTTGCACTGGAGCCAGTGGTGGATTTACGCATGGGACACCCCTGCGCACCACACTCCGTGCTGCCCTTTTTTCTATTCTTTAATTTTCGATACAAACAACAAAGTTTCAATAATTTCTAAAGCATATTATATATTTTATAATATTAATAATTATTATTAATAATAATAATTAATTTTTTTTATGAAATGAATTATATTACACAAAAGAAAGTAAAATCTTTTATGTCTTGTTGATTGGACAGCGAATTGGTCAATGAGATCATCAGTATATTTATTTTGAAAATTTGGGTTCTATTGCCAACAAAGCTAGTGAATTTAATTGTTCTTCGGTCATTATTGATCCTAGGTAGTTTTTTACTTGTTTCAAATAATAATAAATAGATTTTATAATATAAATAGATAAATAATAAATAGATTTTTCAGCATTGTAATTACTTATTGATGTGCAGACAATCATCCAGTATGCAATGTCAACAATGGAACAACAAGAAAATTTATCAGTTCTTTGGAGATATAAATATAAGGAGATAAGATATAAATATTTTTATCAGCAAAGTGTGTTTGGAAGGGTAACATTTCATTTCACGATGTGCCTTCTAAATTCGTGTCATAGTCATGTATTAGTAAATCCATGTCAATGTCATGTTTATAATAGTATTTGTTCATTTACCATTTCATATTATTTCAACTTAAAAATATGATTTAAATGTAATGCGAAAGAAAAATTGAAAAAAATTCAGTACCATAATTTTGTACGAACTTTTATTAAGATAATTTGAAATTGAACCACCGTACCCAGCAGTATTGGATATTTGAGATGTTCATTGTTGAAGGGTGACATGATGGAAGATAAGATGGCTTTATTTACTTAAAGGTTATGTTACAATATTCTCTATGTTCAAGAAAATGGTATACTCAACTTTATTAAAGTCGGGAAGAAGAATATATATTTTCATATAACTCAATATAATATTGGATGGCCATTAGTTTTGGACATTCAATGTTAATCTGAAATTATCCTTGTTTCTCTGTATGAAGTTCTGGAAATAATGCGAACAGTTACAAGTAATGTAAGGAAATGTGTGCTGTTGTAGCACCACTTGATTTTTTTGACGTAGATAAAAAAGAATCAAACATTTTTTCAACTTACAATCTGATTTGACATCTGCACGAAATTTGTCTCTTGTTCGTTAAGATCTGGTTCCATGTTTTGATTGCGATTTGATTTAATAAAACACGTGTCACATTTTTGAGTGTCTATCCAATCATTCTATTTCTACTGTTAATTAAGCGATTTTTTCAGTATGCAGCACCACTCAACTTGATTCACTTTTCACTCATTGTTGCCCAATCAGAACAATGAAATAAAACATTTATGTCGTGTTTTCACTAGTCATCATTTCAGTTTTATTAACAACTATTAACTTCATCTTCCTATTAAGTAAATCTTGATTAATTTAAGCCAATTATCCAAAGAAAGTCACAATTATTATCAAAACTGACTGTGCCCAATAGGTCTGTCTGCACTTGGCACGACAGTCCACATATGGGTCAGGGCCTGCCAGCAGCAGCATGTCCTCGAGGCCGTTGTTTACAGGGTCTGGGTTGTTCACACAAAGAAATCCCTATGCCGTATTCTGGTCTTCTCAACCTGGGAAGTGAGTTTTTCCATCGTCACACAGCAACATACACTGGGACATTGCAACGAAAATGCACACTATAATCTTGCCTGACCAGGAATCGAACCAGATGTCGCATAATGGAAAGCGAGCACATTGACCAATGAGCTAAACAGTGAGGGTGCACAATAGGTTGACAGGAAAAATCGGTCAAGAATTATATACAAACATCAGGAAGGTTTTACAATTGACTGCAGTGCTGGGTTGCACACTCAAAATAAATGTTTATAAGTTGCATAACTGTTAATATTTTGGAATAAATTTTTCAAAATGTTCTTTATACCTTGATGAAACATTGAAACATTTTCTCACTGGAAGTTTTTTGTATCTCAAGCTTCATAACATTTAATATTGAGTTGATCCGAAGGTCATGATTGTTAATTTTTAATTAAAATGTGCACTTTTTAATCAATTGAGTTCAATGGTGGTCACGTATAGCTCAAATTGTTTGGGGGCAAACAAAACATCAAGTGATTTGTTTGTTTATTCACCAAAATATGATGAATTAAAGTACAAAAGAGCTATAAAATGAATACGCTAAAATATTTAGTCTTCATTATTTTCTTCAATTATCGTAATTTGAAAATATGTTTTTCTATCAAAAAATATGTGTTTTGATATGCTGAAAGCTGTAGTATTAAAAAATTGAATTTACATAATTTTGTTTAAAAAATGCATGATATCGTTCTTTAATGGCCAGCTGTCTGAGCGCCAGTGCTTGAATAAAAAAGAGCAATTGTAATTCCTGTCAAAGAATAATTTTTCAAAAAAATAAGCTTTTTGATTAAAGAAAATTGCCACCCTGAAAATTGTACCGCCCAGTGCCCATAGTGCCTAGGCGTAAATTCACCAGTGACTGGAGCTGTTGCTGAACTCTTTATTTGTTATTATCAAATTTTAAGTTTGTTGCTATGGAATATGGTGCTAAGAGTGTTTGTTTGTTTCTCAGAAAATATTGCAAGGGAAATTAAAAGAGCAAGCAAATATTTTGGAAAAGTCTAAATCCGAATTGCGAGATTATTACCAACAGCAAGTAGAGTTTGTGGTGCAGGAGAAACTTGCGGAATTCCAAACTCAGCTGGACACAGCAGAGGCTTCCCTGCACCAGGAAATGGAGGAGAGAGAAAAGGTTGCATTGGAAGCTGCAACCAAGCAAATTAAACATATCACAGAAAAGTGAGTGGAATTATATATCAATTGAGATCTATTTTCCACAATTTTAATACATTTTTCTTCTGTATTCTTCGGGCATGCCATAGTTTTATTCCAGGAACTATTACAGTTGATATTTCCAGATCAGTAAAGGGCATACATAGTAAGTAGCTTCTTTGCAGTGAGCTACCAAAGGATAATTATTATCTTACTCCACATGTGCTTGATCTGTATGTATATTTTCTCACAAATCAAGGCTTTTTCTGAGAGAGATTTGGTTCCCATCCTTGCATCACTCAGTTTCATCTAGATTTCCCTTGTTTTAAAGTGGGTAGAAGCAGGCTCAAAGCTCTGAGCAGAGCATGTGCAATGAGTATTTGTAAACCTTTTCTTTTCTGCATAACAGTTTTTCTTGCATTCTTGATATTAAGGGTAATCAAACTGAAGGAAACTTCTCTTCTTTGGAAAAAATATTCATGTAACTAATCAAGTAGCTATTAATGTACACAATTAACATACCACCATTAACATATATATACCACCAAATACACTTGAATACACAATTATTTCTCACTGCAAAACCCTGGAGACTTTGAATTTAGAAAACTCTGATGTTGACTGGATGATAATGGGCGATTATAACTTTCCGAAAGTTTTGTGGCATATGAATGACTATTCTAGCTATGAATGTTTTGACTCCAATGCAACACTTTGAGAGAAATCTTGTGTCAAAATACTTCATGACACAATGTTTTTTAAACCTCTTCCAGTACGATACTATTACTATCTGTAAAAATGTAATGCTTGCTCTTGCTTTTTTAACGTTTCTTGTATTTTGATTAGGGCATTGAATGAAGAAATTGTACAATTAGATTCTCATCACTCCGCACTTTGTCTTGAACTAAACGTTCCCACTAATACTGTACTACTGCATAATGATGATTGGTACTATGATTTTCAAGCTGCAGATTATGTATCCATATAAAACATATCCAGACACAATCAACTTCACTATGTTTAGAACTTACATCTCTATTCTATTATCATCTATAAGATTGTATACAATGATGTGTACTAATCAAGACAAAATATGTATCCATTTATCCTATATGGTACTGTAGTGAACTGAAGAATTCAATATTTCACAAATGGAAGCTCACAAACGTTTTAAAAAATACAGTTCTCCGCTTTACTATTCACTATTTACAAACCTAAGGTGAATTTGTGAGATTTTGGTGAAGAGAGATTTATGTTCATATAATTATGATCTGGGAAAATTTATTACAATTAAGCTGAATAACTTTTGGAAATATATCCGATCAAGAAAATCTACCCAAGATTTTCCTAATGCATTAAGCATTTTGAGAATCAACAACTTACTGATGGTTTGAGAATTGCTAATACTTTTTCCGTTAATTTTTTATATTTTATAAACCACCTAATAACCAATTAAATGTCAGTGGTACAATATTTTTAACCACCTACAACATTAACTCATTGGATATATCACCTACAGGATATCTTCAAAAACATCAATAAACTTGACTAAACCTCTACGAATGATGTAGAAAAAGAGAGTTAATTTTTTAATTTGTTTAAAGTAGTCATTATCCCTCTGAAGAATTGTTTAGGGAAAATAACATCATCTCTGTTAGCAAATTTTTCCTTGAAAAATCATTCCTAGGAAATTTTTTTAACTATATACATATGAATGGAAGCTTACAAAATGTAAAAAGGACACCTATAATTATATCGTCACTAGTTAACAAAGAGATTGGTGAATGTCATTATGAGCAAGTTGTAAGTAGAGTATTCAACCCGTTAAGTTGCGAACTAAAGAGACTAAGTATGAACTCTAAAAGCGATAAAAGACTGTTAAGACAATGTTTCATAAATGTGAAAGACTCCAAAAATATCCTAAACTAATTTATACAAAGGAGCATAATTGATCCAAGATATAGTAATTTTTCCTTCTAAAATGTTTGTACTTTACTCGAACTCACTTTACACAGAGTCTTTAATTACGATCTGACTCATTATGTAATTTAATTAAAGGCATTCATTTTTATTTTAAATGTGAAATTTGTTGTTTTTCATTCATTCTATAGTTTTAATTTAATACTTTTCATTCATTCTTTATTTTAAAAGTGATACTATTTTAGGAGAAAATTGTAAATTCTGTGCTATCAGGTCTCGCACACAGGACTGTGTCCTTAGCGAGGTACAAAATTATATTTATATATATATATATATATATATATATATA